TGACACATGTCCATATCACTAGTCACAATACTTCTCCTTTTCCTTTTTCACAGGGAAATAGATGATTCTGACCAGTTATGACCAAACCAGGGAAAAGGTTCTGTTCCAAATATAGTTAGGACCGCAGACTATTTTATTTTATTTCATTAAGTAAGAAAATGAAATTAAAATCATCCAAAAGGGGCAGCCCGGGTGGCTCAGCGGTTTAGTGCCACCTTCGGCCCAGGGCCTGATCCTAGGGACTCAGGATTGAGTCCCACATCGGGCTCCCTGCATGGAGCCTGCTTCTCCCTCTGCCTGTGTCTCTGCCTCTCTCTCTTTCTCTCTCTGTGTGCCTCTCATGAATAAATAAGTAAAATCTTAAAAAAAAAAAAAATCATCCAAAAGCCCATGAGCCAGGTCAATAGGAAGGTTTGCTCAAGTTCTAGGTCTTGGGAATCAGCAACCCATGCCAAGCAAAAAGGTAGAGAAGGGAAAGGAAAAGGGTTCCTCATCTTTTCTGGGAGCAGCGCTATAAATAACACTCTTTCCAGATCCCATGTCTAGCTCCTGGGTCCTTGAAGATTCTTTACAGTGTCCTACATATTCTTTTTTGGAAGCCCACCCAGACCCCTCTAGATGCTTCAGAATTACCTTCTCTGACTGCCTCAACTTTAAAGGAATATGCTAGTTAACCTAAATGCATCTCTCCCATAGCATTTCAGACTGATAACTGAAAAGTAAAGAGGGGGTTAAATGTGAAAATGGAGGGGAGGTTGGAAGAGAGGAAAGGTGACCTTCAGGACCGAGAAACTGTTAGGTGCAAGTCTACCCAAGTCAGCTGCCCATAACTGGTCCGTGAGAGCACCAATCTGAAACCAAATGCCTATGTCTGAAGTCTGCCTCCTCCACTTTCTAACTGAGACGCTCAGAAGTCACTGCTCCCTGTGCCTTGGCTTCCTCATGTAAAAATAGGGCTCATACCAACACCTATCTTCTACGGCTGTCATGAGGACTGAATGAATTTGTCCATGCAGAGCCTGGTACACAGTGAATTGACTCTAAGCGTCTCTGCTGCTACCACTGCTCATGTCATTATTTGTCATGATGCTACTTTACCCGCTTTTCCTTTTCCACTCACAAACCCAACAATTCTCAATCATAAGGCAGCTCTGGTGGTGGAGGTGGGTGATGTGGGGGTTAGAGAGGGAAGAGTGCAGTTGGACCTTCACATGTCAGCGTTTTGCAGGCTGGGTGCAGTCTGTGCTGAAGATTTGTTGTCAGAGGGGCTAGGGAGCTAGGAGTAAGTACCACCTCTTCTTCCTCTTCTCTTTGGGTTACTCTGCTCCTCCTCTCTTCCCAAACTCCAACAATGACATAGGGAAGACCTCCCCGGACTCAAGCTTCGGCCATACTTTACTTAAATCAATAACAGAAAAGCAGCATGGCAAAAGAGAGGACAATGGGACCAAACAAAGTTTCACTTTGCCTTAAGGAAGTCAATAAAAGCTACTAGCTAAGCAAGTGCTAACCAGAGTTAACCAAACCAGAGCCTTCATTGGATATACAATTAAATAGACCTCAGCAGGCCTGTCTAATGCAGAAAGACTCCTTTCCTGGCTTCCATTCACACACCAAGATATGCTCGCTTCTCCCATCTTATGACAGATGCTGAGCAGGCCCTGCAAGAGGGGTGCAGGGAGACCCAGCTGTTCTTAGAACTTAATACTTAGTAGAAGCTCCTGCCCTTCTTTCACCTTTCAGCAAGGTACCACCCAACGTCCTACTTCTCTTCCTTTATGTCATCTGATGGTCACCACTTTCCTTTTCTTGTAAATTGTGGCAGTTTTCTCTCCTCTGTGAAATTCTGACTCCACAATGAGAAGAAGTCAATGAATTCCAGGGTTTGGGGTGACAGTTTCCCTCTCCTCCCTCCCTAGTTTCTTGATGACTATAAACCTTCATACCTAAAGATAACTAAAGCCCATACCATGAAAACAGCAAGTCACATACAGCTGAGCCCACAGGGGCAGGGATGTTCTATCCACTGGTATATCCCAAGCATCTCAGGGCCTGACACCCTCCACCATTCCACCCAATTCTACAGGATAGGAACTAAATCCTGAAAAGTGGAACCAAAGGTAGGGGAGGGGAGGGGAGGGGAGGGTGGAGAGAAGGAGCAGTCCACAAAGAGTTTAGGTAATTGTTCCAAACAATGTCCCTACCATTCCCATAACTTACCGCATTATTTGTGGAAGCAAAAGACTGAAAAGGAATCAGATTTTCAACTTTGCCATTTAAAGTAGAAACTGAGAGCCTTACTTACTACACATATTTCAGCCCAGAGCTGCTGTGCCTCCAGGTTTACAATTTCAACTCACAGCTTAAGTTAAAAAGCCTGGAGACTAAAGATATCCCCTGGGTTAGAATATCACACATTTCCTATCCACAAACCACCTTGATTCTCTCTTTCTGGTCTTATTAAAATACTCATACTCGGGATCCCTGGGTGGCGCAGCGGTCTGGCGCCTGCCTTTGGCCCAGGGCGCGATCCTGGAGACCCGGGATCGAATCCCACGTCGGGCTCCCGGTGGATGGAGCCTGCTTCTCTCTCTGCCTCTCTCTCTCTCTCTCTCTCTCTCTCTCTCTCTCTGTGGCTATCATAAATAAATAAATAAATAAAAATATAAAAAAAAATACTCATACTCTCCAAATGTAGATGCTTTTCCGGGTCTCATTATTTTTCTAAAATAATGACCCTCCACCTGGCTAGAAGAATGCTTTTGGCATGAGAGAAAGTCCAGGGTGTGAAAACTTTACCTCGATGAAAAATAAAGCCCCAGCACAATCACAGCTTATCAGGCCCCAGGGAGGCACAGCAGCAACAGTCAGGGACTGACATCCGCTCTTTAGTCACCACCAAAGCTTGGGAGTCAAAAGCACACACTTCGAAATCTGACAGCACAGGTCTGAGTGCCTGCCCTGATTTCAGTCACCCCTTCTTCCACCTAGGGTCTCACCAAACCCTAGTTCATTATCTGTAAAACTGGATAGGAACCAGGTCCAAGTTCCTAAAGATTCTTTGCAAGAAGAAGATTCAAACCATGTTTTTCCTATAATTCTGGAATTAACTTAAGTGGTTTAATATACCAACAAAAAAGCTTAAAAATATATTTTTTAATTTTTTAAAAAAGATTTTATTTATTTATTCATGGAAGACACACACGGGGGGGGGGTGGCGGGGGGGGGGGAGGCAAAGAGACACCAGCAGAGGGAGAAGCAGGCTCCATGCAGGGAGCCCGACGTGGGACTTCATCCTGGGTCTCCAGGATCACATCCTGGGCCAAAGGCAGCGCTAAACCACTGAGCCACCCAGGCTGCCTGCTTAAAAATATTTAAAACATGGAGCATAAGAATTCACTGTAGGGCTAAAACAACTTGAGCTAAATGTCTGACCTGAGAGTACATTTGTCAATCAAATACAGAATTTATAATATCCTCTTAAGGACTCTTTACAGATATGCTCACAGGAGAAAGCAACCACAATAATGAACTGGCATCCGTGAGGCCAGGTAATGAGAGGGCAAAGCATTCTGGCTGGCAGCAACTCTAAGATATCTTTCTCACTATAAAACCCAACTCGTTCTCACCCTTGGGGTACAAGCCATCATTCTAAATGACTGTCTACATAGCAAACTCAGGTGGGAGCAAATACACACTGATGTTGTCTTGTTTAAATGCCACAGTCTCCATTTACAACCGACTAGGAAAAAAAAAAAGCAATAAGCCTTATTTTGAAAAGACACTTCTCACAACTGACCTCTGCACTAATGCACTTCAGGTAACCTTAACTAACGTCTGTGTCAAACACCAACATTAAAGGAACCTGTCTGTGATCTGCATTCTTGGATAAGCTTTCCCTGAATTAAGCCTCTCCAGAAAACCAGCCGACGTACACGGCTAACCCATGCCCCCGACGGGATGAAGTGGAGGCCTCCTCATGATTCGTTTACCCCCCACGCCAGAACCTGCAAAACTCAAGCTGTCACTACCTTTGGCTTTCTAACACAAGGCGAGGCTCTGCTGCGTGGACAGGGCTCCTCGAGGTGGTTTTTAAACTAGGAATTTACAGCGTCCCACACAGCCCTCCTGTCACCGTGCAAGTGAGGCGGGGGGGGGGGGGTGGCTCACAGATTAAGTGACGTAAGTGGCTGCCATCATCTCCCCCATCCACCGCCACTCTCAGAAAATAGAAGGAAAAGCACTTCATGGACCTCTGGGGGCCACTTGCCCAGAGCGACCCGGCACCCACACTCAGCCGCTGCCGGAATCCAGGTCAAGGTCCCCCCTCTCCTACAGGCCGGCGCACGCCTGGCCACCAGGGTCGGCCCCCGGCTCGAGGGGCAGGCCGACCGCGCACAGGCCGGGCTGGCTGCAGGGCAGGGCGCACCGGGCCCAAGGCTCAGCGGCCGCGGAGGACGAGAGATGTGCGCCCCCGCCCCAAGCTGCCCCGGACACTGCTCGCCACTCTCCGAGCCACCCCCTCCGCGCTCCGCCGGCTGCCCCAGGGCCACCGCCAGGGCCAGCCTCCCTGGGGACCCCGGGCCCGCGCGGCTGCCCCGGACAGAACAGGCAACTCCTGGGGGTCGCGCGCAGGAGCCGGGGGGCCGCGGAGGGCAGGGGCCGGGGATCACCGGCAGTGTCGGGCGGGGGTGGTCGGCCAGGGCTGCGGGCGGCACGGACCGCGGCCGGGGAGGCGCGGGGAGGGGCTTCCTCGTCCGCCCCGCCAGGTAAAGGGCTCCAGCCGGCCGCCAGGAGGAGGCGCCGAGCGCCCGCCGCCGCGGGTCCCGGGCCCTCGGGGCTGCGGGTGGGGAGGTCTGCAGCCGCAGGTCGGGTCGCGGCGGTCGCCGGCTGGAGAGCCGCCCTCCGGGGCCCCGGAAACCCTGCCCCCAGGGCGCGGGTGGGATGCGGCCCCCACGGAACGGTTGGAGCGGGGGTGGGTCTCGAAGCGCGATGCCTACCTCCGCCTCATGCTGGTGTGAGCAGAGCCGGGCCGCACTCCGGGTCCGCCGCCCCGAGCCCCGCCGAGCCCCGCAGCCCCGCCGCCCCGAGCCCCGCAGCGCGCCGCAGGTCCGCGCGAGCAACAGCAGCTGAGCCGCCGCGCGGCCGCCGGGGGCTGGGCGGGCACATGGGAGGGCGGGGGCGGCGGGGCTCGGCCCGACCACAGGACCCCAGGCGCGGGGGCGGCACCCGAACTGCCCCTCCGGACCCGGCGCGCGGCTCCCGGCCTCAGGGGTGCCGTTGGGACCTGCAGGCTTGGACAGTGCCGGAATCGCAAGGTTACGTGCAGAAGGTGCGGGAACGGGCTGCGGCCACTGCCTCCCTCCGCTCCACCCCCCCTGCAGGTCTCTGTGGTACGGTCCTTGGAGCCGCGTCCAGGAGACAGGGAGGAGCTGATTGGCTGGGCATCTTGGAAGGGCGTAGGGAACCACACAAAATGGCCAATGAGAAATCACGGTTGTCTATCAACCCTGCCAGCTGGGGAGGAGAGAGGGTGCGATTAAAGGGAACTTGTGTGTTGCCCTCAGCAGCCGCCACAAACAAAACCAGGATTTTCTTCCCGATCTTATCTAGACGGGGAAACAAAGAGATTTAGGGGCTCCACAGATGTTTGGGTTAGAGAGCTAAAAGAAAATACGGGGAGAAGTGAACCAGATACGTCCCTTGGCCTCAGGTTCCTCACCTAATCCAATGACAATACTGGACTAGAAGTGGGGTCCTCTGAGGGTCCTTTTCATATTTTGTGATTCTACAATCCTTTGCATGGTATTAGCAATACTTATATATTTTCTTCAATTTTCGGCATGCTCTCCCATGTTTCAACTTTGGTTGAAAGTAAGGTAGACTTGTCAGAAATGATACCAAATCCTTTATACAGTGTAAACCCTACCTTTTGTAAAGACAAATTCAATATTCTTTGTCCCTCCTCTCTTAAAGCAAAGCATTCTCCTTATGTGTGGAGAGTACCCAACTCCCCCTCAGAATACCTCGTAATTTCTAATCTTCTGAGAGTCATCCTTTCTTCCCTCTTCCTCCACAGTATCAAAGTTTCAATTCATAATTAATACACCTGTTGAACTGTCCAGATCCCCACCTTTAGCAACAAAGCTCGCTGGTCAGTCCTCATTAGAGTCATTGCAGTGCTATCTGAAGTGTCCACTACACCATTTAACTGTTCATGGCCAATTTTAGTCACACTACATGTCAGATTCAAGACTTTAAAAACATTCCTTGGGAGTCTAGTCGGCTCTGTTTTAAAGCTTTATTCTGGCTGCTTGGCCACCAAACTTCAGACCAGCTTCACCTTTATTTTTCAGAACTTTCCAACTTTCCATCATCTGCTCACCCTACATCCCTACATCCACTTAACCTTCTTCCAAATTACATGAGGAGTTTGGGATACTTTTTTAATAGTTCCACTCTCCCCCACACACCACCCCCTCTAACTGATCTTCCAACTATTATTCAGTGAGTTCTAGAAAGTCCAGTTTCTCCATGAAGTCTTCCCAGGTTGATTAACAGAAGCTGCTAACTTATAGAGCTCCCATTTCTACTCTGTGCCACCATAACCCCGAGTTTCTGACCCAATATGCGATTTTTACTGATATGGTTACCTCTCTTATTCATTTTCAGCTGCAGCTGCTGCTTACATTCATTAAATGTTACTATGTGCTAGTACTGTTGGGAAGTGCTTTGCATGTATCATTTCATTTCACCATCACATGAACTCTGTGAAGTACTATTATTATTCCTGTTTTATGGAGAGAAAGAAAGTGAGTCTTAGAGAAGCTGAGTCGCCGAAGCACACACAATCGAGGTCTAACTGTAGTTTCTATCTTCACAACCCCAAAGTGCAAATACTATCTGTTTCTGAAGAACCTATGCTATGGCATTCCATACAAAAGATAATGTCATACACTTACATCATTTTTTACACGTCTTTACCTACAATATCATTTCAGCCTCAATCATGTCAGGAAGCAAAAAAATAAAAAATAAAAAATAAAAAAATCATGTCAGGAAGGTTAGGAGAAGTTTGTCCGCAAGTGAGCAAGAAAACCACAGCTAGAAAGGCTGACCAGTTTAGCTCTGGTAGCAGGGCTGGTAAATAATGAAGTCTGGTTATCCAAGTTGTCCATTTTTCCCACTGAAATCTCCAATCCCTGAGTGAATACAATCTTTTCACATATAACCAGTAGAGAACAATTATAAGCAAGAAGCGAACAAGTAACAGCAAAACCCACACCGTGCAATCCAGGGAGAATGGTAGCAGTGTTTGCAGGGCAGAAAACAAGTCCAGGAGGGCTTCTATAAAGAGTGAGAAGTACTATGTGTTTCTTCTCCTGGCTTGTTTATATTCTGTCTCTGAGATTATGCCTTTGACACACCTGGCAAATTCAATAGCAAAGGGCAACAAAAGCCTCCTCCTCCCCCACTGCCTAGAGTACCTGGAGACCGAATCCCATGAGGAAGGGATTTCTATGTGCCAGGCTGCTCAGAGATTCAGGGAAGTTTCCAAGTTGCTCCTTAGTAAAGTATCTTGCTTCACTGACACGTGTAACACAGCCCTGAAAATATACACTGGGCTAATGATCTCATTCTTTTTAAACCAATGAAATCCAGGGTGTCTGGATGGCTCTGGTGGTGAAGCCCCTGCCTTCAGCTCAGGTCCTGATCCCAGGGTCCTGGGATCCAGCTCCACTTCTGGAGCCCTGCTCAGTGGGGAGTCTGCTCCTCCTCCCTCCCCCTTTGCCCCTCCCCCCGCTTGTGCACATTCTCTCACTCTCTGAAATAAATAAAATATTTTTAAAACATAAATAAGATTACGGGCAGCCCCAGTGGTGCAGCGGTTTAGCGCCGCCTGCAGCCCAGGGCGTGATCCTGGAGACTCTGGATCGAGTCCCACGTTAGGCTCTCTGTATGATGCCTGCTTCTCCCTCTGCCTGTGTCTCTGCCTCTCCCTCTCTGTCTCTATGAATAAATAAATAAAATCTTTAAAAAAATAAATAAGATTATAAATAAACAATCAAACAAATAATCAGACAAACCGCTGAATCCTCAGAGGAGTGGACAGGCTGGCAAAATGGTGTGGGAGCCAGTAAATTTTCAATGTCAATTAAGAAGCCTAAGCATGGTAATTCTGAAGCCAATACTGGTGACTTGCTCTTTGCCCAGCCCAGAGCTAGTCAGTCCAGTTAATTTTCACTCCCACTGCTCTTCTGTCTTTTCTTATTCCCAGAGAGCTCTAAAATGCCTCTGTTTGTCTTAAGTGTTTCATTTATGCATCCTAACATTTAGTGGGCAACTACTACGAGCAAAGGACTGTAGAGTTGTGTGGGGTTATCCTGATGGATCATACATGAAGCCTGTCCTTACGGAGTGGAGAGGGTGATGAACATCAGATCTACTGGGTGAGGAGTAGATCAACCCGAACTCCTCAAAACCTATGTGATAGGATTCCATCTCAAGGCTAATTGTAAGCTCACGTCAGAAAGCCTGACCTCTAAGAGAAAGAGGAAGAGCACTGGCCTGAACTCTGGGAGAGGGTAGGGGTGGGGGGATGGGCATATATATTGGGGAGGAAAGTGGAGAAATGGAGGGTACCCAGAAATAACTGGACATGTACCAAACCGTAGAGGGAATAATATCAATCCATAATTTTGCCATTAAAAAACTGTGATGTGGGCAGCCCCAGTGGCCCAGCAGTTTAGCGCCGCCTTCAGCCCAGGGTGTGATCCTGGAGACTTGGGAGTGAGTCCCACGTCAGGCTCCCTGGATGGAGCCTGCTTCTCCCTCTGCTGCCTATGTCTCTGCCTCTCTCTCTCTCTCTCTCTCTCTGTCTCTCATGAATAAATAAATGAAATATTTTTTAAAAACTGATGTATTCTGTCTCACTTTTAAGAAAAACATTTTCTAATTTCAAAAGTAATACATGTTCATTGTTTAAAAAATTTTAATACAGAAAAGTACAAAACAATTAAAATTACTAATTACTCTTAACAGCATAACACTGTTACTATGTTAATGTATTTTTCCTGTATTTTTAAATGTTTCATGTATATTGCCAAATTGTCTTTCAAGAAGTTTACACCAGTTACTTCCTACCAGCAAGGTATGATGGGGCTATTTCTCTGAACCCTCACCAATACTGGGCATTTCTCTTCTTTTGTAAGCCTTGTCAATTTGACAGATGAAAAATATCTCATTGTTTTAATTATTACAGTGCATTTTTACCTATCAAAGTGGTAAATATATATTTTTCCTTCCAAGTGCCCTGAAATTAAATAGCAAAGTGTTTCCCTCTCCCTCCGTTTAACCACACTTCTCCCAAATCCCGGAAGAGTGATAGAAAAATCAGAGTAGAATATGTTCAAATGATCAATGCTCAGATAAACTCAGTGTCATTTTACCTGAACCAATAAAATAGGTAGTGGAACGGATGGCTCAAAACAGCACATCAATCTATATATTGTAACTCGAAGTAAGTAACGAATCTACGCACAGGAGCTTTCAGCTTTAAAAGGATATCAATCGGGATCTCGGGGTGGCGCAGCGGTTTAGCGCCTGCCTTTGGCCCAGGGCACGATCCTGGAGACTCGGATCGAATCCCACGTCGGGCTCCCGGTGCATGGAGCCTGCTTCTCCCTCTACCTGTGTCTCTGTCTCTCTCTCTCTCTCTCTCTCTCTGTGACTATCATAAATAAATAAAAATTTTAAAAAATTAAAAAAAAAGGATATCAATCACCAATTAGTACTGGCTAATGTCCAAATCAGTTCCAAATCAGTTTGCGTCTCTTCAACAATACCAATTCTGTGATGGGGACAAATCCAGATGGTCTAAGCTGCCAGCCCATCTTCCAGTATCAAGTGGCTGGTTAATCCATCCAACATTACTCTCAGCTCCTGCTTAGGTCTCCCGTCCCTTGGCATTACTTTGGTTTTGTGGTTGCCTCTACATAAAGTCCTTTTCTCCAGCCATCAACAGCCATTGCCCCTCCCCCATTCTCAGTATAGTTTGACTGGAATTGAT